CATAGCATAGCACAGTCAATGGATAAGCGCATTTGGGGGTGTGTCGGTATTTGCCTCACCCCCATCAGTTGCTTTCGTGGACACGTGGCCAGTTGTATGCAATTATATTATTCTCGTCCACTTGATATTAATAAAAAAAGGAATAAAAACAAAAAATGCAATAATTAGCCCAAAACCTCTATTTCCAAACCAGAACTATTTTGACTGCTTCCACTACATCATCAATCCATAACTTTGAGTGGAACCAACTGTCAATAGCTTTTTTCTTTTCCAATCCCACGTCAACACGGTTTAGTGGGATCAAACATCAGACGGCTGTGATTTAATCATCTAATGGGTTTTTTTTTTTTACGTGGCTGATGCATGTAAATGTACCGCAATGAAGCTCAGAGAGGAGTTGACAAGAGCACTGCTGGAAGCGAAGGATGGTAAGGTCGATAATAATGAGGAAGGGATAGAGTCTTTCAACCAGCTTGTGCAGGAGATGACGTTGAAGCAACAAGATGTCAAAGCCTTCGCTTTCAAAACAAAGGCTATGGTAAACTCTCACTCACTTTCACTACGCTTTATCTTTATTTTTCATTTATAGCTATTAGCCAGCGGCTAGTTTTGTTTCTTTTTCCATCATCACTTTTGGTATGTACTGGTAGGGGTGATGGTGATGCCACCATTTCTGTTGTCTACTGCATCATTTCGGGTTGGCAAAAGTTGGTCTAAAACTCTTAAACTCCACCTACCCAACTGGCTTATCTATTGGAATTGGTCTTGGGTCTGGTTAACTCTCCAACATCAATCTACCCCCTAATTTAATTTAGTTTGTTTTTATTTATTAATTTTGTTATTTCTTGGGCTGTTGCTTTGCTACTATAATTTTGTTAAGGAGACTCCTTGTTCGTACGGTATTGGATTAGTTTTGGAAGCTCACGGGTTAATATGAAGGAAAAAGAGAGTCCAAAACCAGTAAACCAGTTTGTAGAAACCTTAAGCTACCTGCTTCCAGTTTCAATTCAAAACAATTTCCTTTTCTCTTTGTTTCGTTCCAAGTAACTGGAATACAATTCTAAACTTATATGACCTAATTTTCTTTAGACCCACTTATCTACAATTTCAGAGATTTATTTGTCCTAAATGAAAATTGCGTGTTGCATGCCACAAAATTCCATCGCCAACTGGCCCAACTATCTCTGCCTACAATGTTCTTTGGCTGTTTGTTCAAGCAAATAAAAAGTTTCTATAACAGTAGCGGGCAGAATACACATTTGTGGTCCTAGTGTAGTTGCCCAAGGTGTCCTTTTCTACTGAAAATTGATTGACGATTTGTGCCATTAGTATCCATGCCCCTTTTTTCTTCCGTTGCATGTTGTTTTTATGCAGAATCTTGCAGTTGAGCATCTTTCGCATAGATTGCTTTACTTCCTAGTTCCTCATATGAAACTCCCTTTACTTTAGAGTGTGCAAGCCTTTGGGACCACAAGAACTTTGAAAGGTGGCAAAGTGATTCGATAATTGCTGTCTAAATTTTGGCCACAGATTGCTAGCTGCAGTTAGTTGGACAAAAGTGAACAGTTTTCAAGGTCTAAATTTGACATGAAGTAAAATTCTGTTGAAGATTTAAGATATGCATTTTTTCGTATTTATTGTAAATTAATCTTCAGAAAAGCCATTTGAGATAAAAATTGTGATAACTAGCATAATATTTGTTAAAGATCAATGTGGCTTTGTCGAATAACCCATAGAAATTTGTTGAATCTCTGTCAATATAATGCTTAATTAACTGAAGAATAGTTTGTTACTTAATATTCAGCTATCAAGGATGGAACATAAGGTTCAGTCAGCCAGGCAGCGTGAGTCAATTTACTGGCATTTAGCCTCACATGGTGTGCCCAAGAGCCTACATTGTCTTTGCCTCAAATTAGCTGAAGAATATGCTGTAAACGCGATGGCTCGATCTCGCTTGCCTCCTCCTGAATATGTTTCTCGACTTTCTGATCCCTCCTTTCACCACCTTGTTCTCCTAACTGATAATGTCCTTGCAGCTTCTGTTGTTATCTCTTCTACAGTCGAAAAATCAGCCAACCCTGAAAAATTGATTTTTCACATAGTGACTGACAAGAAAACTTACACTCCAATGCATGCATGGTTTGCAATTCATTCTATTCAATCAGCAGTGGTGGAAGTTAAAGGGTTACACCAGTACGAGTGGTCTCAGGAAGTAAATGTTGCGGTCAAGGAGATGTTAGAGATACATCGCCTGATTTGGGGACAATATTACAAAAATTTGAAAGAAGAGGACTTTGAGTATGATGGAGAACATAAAAGATTCTTAGAAGCTCTGAGTCCCAGCTGCCTTTCCCTTATGAACCTTCTTCGAATTTATATCCCTGAGGTAATCGCTCTATTGCTTTCACAGATGGAATGGATGACATTGAATATGAATTTGTAATGATATCATCTAATTTTCATGGGCCACACAGCTGTTTCCAGATCTCAACAAGATAGTGTTCTTGGACGATGATATTGTTGTACAACACGACATATCATCTTTGTGGGAACTCGATCTCAATGGCAATGTTGTTGGTGCAGTTGTCAATTCATGGGACAGTGACAACTGTTGCCCAGGAAGAAAATACAAGGATTACTTCAATTTTTCACAACCTATCATATCATCCAACTTTGATCACAATCGTTGTGCGTGGCTGTATGGCATGAATGTCTTCGATCTTGAAGCTTGGAGGCGAGCCAATATAACAGAAACATACCATCATTGGTTAAAACTTGTAAGTATATTCTCATATGATCCAGTAATTTCTTGATTGGAAACTGCTTGTAACTTAGTGTCACTTATTTTAGGGAGGCTAGTTATAAGATCCTTGAGTCATATTTGTCTAAAGTGATTTGGAATACATAAATCTTCCCTACTGAGGCAACCAAACAAATATTAAAAGAATAGGAAAACAAGACATGTCCTTCTCATAAAGCATAATAAGCAACTGATACTGATATATCTTATTTGTGTCTCACAGAGCCAGGAATCTGGGTTGACATTGTGGCGTCCAGGAATAATTCCACCTGCCTTAATTGCATTTGAGGGTCATGTGCATCATATTGACCCATTATGGCATGTCGCTGGGTTAGGTTCCCGGTCCCCAGAAGTGCCCAGAGATATATTGGAGGCTGCTTCCGTTATTCATTTCAGTGGCCCAGCAAAGCCGTGGCTTGAGATTGGCTTTCCAGAGGTACGGGGCTTATGGAATAAGCATGTAAATTCTTCAAACAAGTTTGTTAGAAAATGTAGGATCATGGGGTGAAGAGGACGAAGTTCTTTCACTCTCAGATATTCATTTTGGGACAAATCCAGAAGCAGAGTTTGGGGAACAGAGGGAAGAAGGTTTTGACTTCAGTCTCTGCACACTCTCAGCTCAACTCTGGACACTTCAGATGGTTCATATTCATGTCCATAATAGACAGTAGACGAACGAAGGTACCATGCGATGCAAATCGATATAGCATAGAATCAGGATTTTCAACCTTTAATGCACATAAAGGGGTATAAGCTTCTTCATGGATGTATGCATCTCTCTGACATTATATTGTAAATTTACTCGGGTAAAATTGAAATTGCTTAGCTCAATGATCAAACTTGGTAGTAATTAGTCTATTCATTCTTGTTTATCTTCCCTCTATTTTGTGTATTTTTCTTTTTAGACAGAGAGAGAGAGAGAGAGAGAGAGAGAGAGAGAGAGAGAGAGAGAGAGAGAGAGAGAGAGAGAGAGAGAGAGAGAGAGAGAGAGAGAGAGAGAGAGAACAATTAGTGCTGCCAATGGGATAAATAGTTGGGAGATACACTATTATACCCAATATAGGATCCCAAATTATTTTAAAAAAAACCTTATGTGAAATGGACTTTAGAAACACATCCAAAGCTCATTTACAACATAACAAAAAGACTTTTAACTTCTTTTAAATTACTAAACTGTCATTGATTTCTTGAAACAAACTCAACTCCAAAATCTCATAAAAAAGCCCAAAACACTCAATAGGGCATCAAAGTAATTTGATAATCAAAATTAAATTCAATAGGATCAGCTATCATTTTTTGGGTTTTTTTTGGGTTTGTTTATAGAAATTAAATGGTGTTTGGGTTATTTATAGTTTTAATGATAAAAATGGGTATATAACTAAATATCTCTAAAGGGTTTAGGTAGGGTAGGGATCTTTGTCACCAAATCCAATCACGGGTGAGTCTAGTTTGTCAAAATTGAGAATATGCCTAACTATGTAAAACTAAAAATTCATAATTTCTAATTTTGAAAACATTATGTACCACAACAATAATGTGTGGTTGTTAGGTTTGATCTCAAACAAAACAGAAGCGCTCAATTATTAGCTAATATATATTTTTGCTGAGCCAAAAATAAAAAAATCAAGAATAAATTACACAACAAATACCGACCCAAAAAAAAAATTAAGTAAAATGACACAACAAACGTTTGAGATTGCAAATTGCTACCCATTCGAATTTGGATGGGTGGGGATTCATCTCTTGTCATAGTCAGCTACATGCACGTGGACGATTAATGCTAGCATTGTTAGTCAGCTATCCTCGCGCACATAGACGGTTGACAATTGGTACTAGCATTACACTACATAAAATGCCATGTCCCACATTGAATAAGGCCTCTGCCTTGCCCACAATTGCCTAATGGATTATCCCACTGGCATAAAAGCATAATGCTGTTGGGCTGTATTGGCAGCTCGCGTGAAGTGTTTTCTATGGGGTCGAAAAACCTATCAGCCGAGCCCTACAGACTCACCACTATACATTTTCTTGGGTCCTAGGCAAATCTTATAAATCCATTTTCCACAAATTAAAGTGAAAACTGGAAAAGCAAATTAAAGCATTATACTAGAAATATATATATAAAGCCTAAAAAAATCAGTTAGCCCTGAATGCCTACAAGCATGAACAACAAGAGGCAGAGATAAATGGTAACTTTTAATTGGGGTGAGAAAATCAAATTTAATATATTATCTTAGAGTTTGGGTACATCATAGGTAGTTAATGCAGAAAATTCTGATTGAACTGAGTGGTGAGAACATTGCCAATCTGGTTCTCAAACATATACATCAAATTACAGTCAATTATCTGATAGATTTATGGAAAACAGATCAAAGGATAGAATGGAACATCAGACGGCATTCCGGCATTTCAACTGCATTCAAAGATCAAATATAAACAGAAACTTATGATCAGTATTTGGAAAGAAAACAGAATCTAAGTTTAAGTTAATGGAATGGAAGATGTAAGATGGAAGAAATAAAAGATCTTACACAAGTTGGAGAGCTGTCTGGTCATGGCGAGAGTAATGGTTATTATTATTATTATTATTATTGGCCTCCAACATTACAGGGAGGAAGTTCCTGTCGTATGACTGTGAAGGCATTGACTGATCATAAGAAGTTCCTTGAATCATATTTGTTTGCTGCTGTTGTGCCCTTTCATTTTCAGCTATCTGTGTGTACCATGCATGCAACCTTAATTAATAATTCGTATCAATAAACTAAGCGCCTTAAGTAGTCTAATTAATTTTTTAGTATGGCTTAATAATGTGGTTGGAGAGAGAGAGAGAGAGAGAGAGAGAGAGAGACCTTTGCTCTCAGATAATTGTTATGGTTTTGCAGCTCGATCTCCTGCACAATGTGCACATAATATTAGTTTTTCAGAACAGCAGGATTTGAGTTTCATTTTAAGATTTTGCACAAAAAGAGTCTTGTATTATTGTAGAAATAATATAGTGCAATTTCATGCTAGAGAGTAGGAGAGACAAAAGTTACCCTCTTTTGCATAAATTCGATTTCAGTAAACAGCATTTCATTCTGGGGACACATTAATTCGAGCGCGTCAGTTGAGATTCTGAGTGTAGATAAAAAGTGAAAAACTTCAACAAATTTCAAATCAAAGTAGGGAAGTGCACTACCTTTTTGGATCTTATTCTGCTGATCCCTTTCTCCAGTCTTCCTTCTAGGTTCTTGAGTTCCTTGATGTTCAAAGTGCTAAGAGCTTCACCCAGTATATGCCTGGAGACAACATAAATTATTATATCATAATACATTGCAGCATATACCTTAATAAAATTATTTGTAGTTTACCTGTTTGAGTTCTGGATTTCGCGGATTTGTCTTCGTAATTTAGATGATTCCTGCTGATAAAACTGAGGCCATGCATGTTGTGATAGCGTTAGAAAAACCCATATATAAAACCAAGTTTGACAAACAACCTGTTAACTGAACTGTTCCAAACACTTTCTTTAAATGATTGGCAAGGGGGTTATACTCTATCAAACCATCCTGAATTAATCATCTAGCTATATAGGAGAAAAGGAAGCTTATTAATTTGTATAAAAACTACTAGTTTAGACTGATGCTAGAAAGTTTCTGCCTAATTATGGGTTTGTAACTTTATACTGTTACAAAAAGATATGAGAAGCTAGATTATTAGGTTTTCATTCAAGAAAATATATGAAAATCTCTTGCAAGCATGCTAGAACATATGTTCTTTGGAACATACACCCTTAAAAACTAAAAATCATTGTCTAAACAGAGTTTACCTGAGTGTTAGCTTCAGAAACAGATCCACCGTTCGTAGAATCAGTGCATGCTTTTTTGTACCTATCAATCGTTGCTCTAACGCTGCAAAGTGAAAGAAAAAAGAGAAGAAGTTAAAACCTTACAATCATTTTTTTTGGTTAAAAAAACATTATGATTTTCAACGAAGAGAGTTCAAACTAGATATAGAAGGAATGCCACAGAATCCCAATGAACTTCAAATTAGAATTGTTCAATATGAATTGGAAAATAAAATTCATATATAGTTACCTATGAATGTGATTTATTCAAGCATATTTGTACAAAATTATGCAATTGTGTAGCAATTAGATGGATAAATTAGTGGCACCTAAGCATTGTTGCCCTACAAAGGGATAAGCTAGACGCCTAGAGGCCAACCATTACACATCATTTTCAGTCAAAGAGAGCTGGCCCCACACATCCAGAGACACCAAAAACCTATTATTGTCTTGTTCTCTTCTCTCTTTTGTGCAATTATTAGTCTCACCATGCATGATTGCAAATTTGCAGTATAACCAACAACAACAACAACAAAAAACCCAATAATCCGTGAAGCTTTTACATATTTTCTCCATGAAACATCATCACATCCTTGTTTTCAAGGAACATAGGAGTCAAAACAAATTTATTGGTTTAAGGATTTCTGAGGCTTGGTCGTGTGGAGAGCAATTGTGGACTTTGGTTCTTGAAGATCAAAGATTATTGCTTTTCATGAAGGTAAAATTCTTAACATCCTCATCTGTATTTTAGATTTATTGGATCTCATAAAAGAATTGAGATTCCAATATGTGTTGTCTTCCATTAAAACCTTCTCCCTAGACACATACACACACACACACACACACACACAAAATCTTGGCCCTATAACTAGCTAGCTCTTAGAGCTCATGAAGAGATTTGAAGCCGATAGTAACATAATCAGATCAATAAGTAAACTATACAATTTTTTTCTTTTTTATGAGAGTAAATTAACTATATACTAAATAGATTGTTCCAAATAATCAAGAACTGTAGATATGGATGCCCTATACACAGTATTAAATATGAACTAACATGATCTTTTGTTATGGAAGTTAGTAAAAAGACAAAGTCTCAGAATTCAGCAAAATAATCAAAAGCTCCAAAAACACACACACATCCACCCAGAGACACATACAGCAGAGACAAAAGCACCACTGGAGAGCATAACAAGAAACTGACTTTCTTTCTATGTCTTTCAGTGAATTTGTAGCCCATACATATGGCAAAAACCACCATAATAGTTTCCATTTTTAGTTGAAACTTTCTCTGCTGTTTTGGATAAAGCAAGCTTAGAGCTGTACCATCAAGGATTTTCAACTTAAACTATGGGAAAGAATATTTTTTTTCTTGTAAGGAGTACTGACATATAACGTTGAAGAATAACTTATTTCAACAATATTAATAATGAACCGTATTTGATCATGTCCTACTTTTCACATGCTCTCCTGAGATAAACATGTTTAACTGATATTATATGAAAGAAGTCATTGTTCTTTCATTTCTCGATCTCATATTTTATGAATTCTTATAGAATTTCTGGTTTATTTCTTGTTTTTTTTAGCATTTCATAAATTGAGTGATATTTAAGGGGATGTAAGAATGATGAATATAGTCAACAAACAAGAGAGTTTTAGTTTTAATTAATTTATGGTTTAGGAGATATATATGTACTCCTCTCAAATGTAAAATGACACGACCCGAACATGACATAACACGAGTCGATTGTCAATAGTCCAATTTCCAACTTCAACAAACTTAAACTAGTTTTCCTTAGGTAGAATTCAACTTGATAATGTAAGCATCTTTAGAAGATTATGCACCAAGCATATGCAAACACTTCCATAAATAATATTCCAACATAGCACTAACATGAAACTTCCCAATCATTGGATTTTGGTACGTATTTAGAACTACCAACTAGCTCTTAGTTTAGTGGTACTTCTCTACTCAATGTTGGAAGAGGTCTCAATTTGAACTAACTCCCTCTTAATAGATATTTCCTAAATTAATTATACATATTATATCTTTATATAATTCTTCACTAGAAAATACAATATTAAGCATGTAAAATTCGAAATTCGAAATTTGTTAATAAATGTTTATGTAGGGTGCATTCCTCACTCTTTCATGGTCACAAGAACCTTTTTAATATTAGTTCTTTTGATATTTGTCTCATAGCACAAATCTTTTAAAAAAATCATTAATAAAATTAATACAAAAACGAAACCAGTATGACCAATTATTTTATTTAGAGAATAACACAATAAAATTACTATAACACATAAATTCATAACATCACATGAAAGTGTGATCGTCACACTCAAAAACTCCTGATAAAATGTTTACATATTATAAAAAACTTCCCAAAAATACAATGTAATCTTAAAGGTATTAAATTAAAACCTTTTGAGGGGGCATGGTCAGACGTGGCTCCACAACAATTAATATAGTCCGATAGTTGATGTTATACGACAGAACTGAACCAAAGTAAGTATTTCACTATACTCTTGGAGACTTTGTTACCTTAATTTCGTCGAGCCAGTGATTGGTTGCTTCTGCCATGCTGGCAGAAGATCCCCAAATATGATTGGCTCGCCTCTCACAGCCTCTAATCAACACCACGTGTCAGTAGCCCATTACACAATGGGCAATACCCAGAGGAACAGTCTCATACTCACCTCGGTGACCCCATAACCCCAAAAGACCCTGTAAATATTACCAAGTCTCTGGTATTAAACAAGTGATTTTTTTATTCAAAGATCTGAAAAGAATTTATTTCCTTTTATGTCTCTGAAATCTCAGAGACAGAGATGTCTGTTTTGGCAGCCATTTTGTTTGCATTTTTCTTCACACACTTTATCTTCATCATTCACCAAAAGAGTTTTGCAAGCCCTCCCTCTTATTGGCTCGTACCTCCTCCTCCATTCCTCAGTCATTTCAGACTTTAATTCATTCAAAACCTCTCTCTCTCTCTCTCTCTCTCTCTCTCTTCACAAGAGTCGCAGTCACTAATAACTTTTCTTGGCTCTGTAAAAACCATAAAACTAATGGGTTTTTTGACACATCAAAATTTGAAGCATGTGTTTAAGACTCTTTTATGATTCTTGAGGAGATTGTTTCCACATAGATGAAAGGCACTCTATGTGTCCTGACTCTCTTTTCTCTTTCTGTCCATAGATTATAATAATAATGCTGTTTTTTCACCACATCATCAACTTAAAAGATAAAAAGAAACAAAGTGAAGATGTTGGATAAATGGTAAGAAGAGAAGATGGATTGAAGAAAAAGAATCATCATGACACAACAGCTTCTTTGTCCGGACTGATCAAGAACAGAAACATCATGTCTGACGTGACCAAAGATTCGTAAGCTGTAACTACACAGCTCACACAAGAAACCCTAGGCACATGCTTCCCCTATATATCCCAATTCCAAATTTGTTATATGCACTAAATAAAGGGTAGATTGGTCATAAATAATAACACGCACTGGACTTTGGGTTTTTGAAACCCTAAGCATAAGATCTAGACAAAACTTTAGACTATTGAGCTATGAACCTATTTTTTCAGACTTACAGCCAGCTGATTGAAGCATGGTTTGGCTGATTTCTAACTATAAAGGTGATGAGGTTTAGTTCGGGCAAACTGGTTAAGGTTTGAATCAGAGACATTAATTTCAGTTTTTTTCACCCTTAAGCTTCCATTTGATGGGTCCTTACTTTTACTGTTTAGCTGAGCTGACATATTACTTAGGAAAAGTCAAGACATGAAGGGAACTGGCTAATGAGAGCTGGACAGCTTTGTGAGGCAGACGTACTTTTGATGGACTGATAGATGACATGTGAAGAGAGAGAGAGAGAGAGAGAGAGAGAGAGAGAGAGAGGACCTGGCTGAGTTTAACAACAATGGAGATACAAGGAAGCTGATCTAACAGACCTGCAACTCTTGGCAACCCTAAGTTTGCTCTCATAATACACTACTTCTGTTTCTATCTGTTACCAACAGATCTACTATCCAGTCAAACAAAGAACTTGCTAGAAAGATCAAAATTTCAGGTTGATAGGTGAAATCAAAGCTCATAAAGGAAAACAAACAGAAAGAAGAAAATAAAGGCTAATGGATCTTTTTCTAGGGCCACTTTACTCATCAAGCTTCACCTAACTAGACACAAAATCAAAAAGAACAAGTCAATCTTAACTTCTCATAGACTCTCTCTTCATATTTGCTACAAAAAATCCAAAGAAACAATCTTTGAAAGAGAGCTGTGAGATTTCAGAACTGAATTTGAGCAACCAAAAAAAATAAACAAGTTATAATAAAGTAAAGCTATATATATATATTGATCATTGAGTGAACTGAAGAAAAGACTTAGAGATCAGAGCAAAAGAAGGAGAAGAAGAAGAGGCTTATAGAGAGAGGTTGAAGTACTAAAACAAAAATAATTAAAAGAGAGAAAATTTGAGTGCAAACCTGTTGTTAGCATACTCATACAGGCGGCCACGGGTAGAGAAGACAATAAGAGCAACTTCAGCATCACATAGAACAGATAACTCATAGGCTTTCTTAAGCAAGCCGTTGCGGCGCTTGCAGAAGGTGACTTGTCGATTTGTAGTGTTTTCAATCCGCTTAATCTCAATCTTGCCTCTTCCAATTTTTCTTTGGGAAGAGCTCTCAGGTGCTTGATTTGGGAACTCCATTGTTGCAAAGATGGAAAACAAATGGCAAAAACCCCCAAGTTGAATTTTGGTTTTTCTGCTAGCTAGCAAAGAAAAACACCACTGTCCAATTAAAAGGCATGATCAATTGTGACAACCATATTGGTAATAAGCAATAGACAAAGATTAAGGCCACCAATAGCCAATTAGTAAAGGAAACCAAAACAAAGCATATAGCTAGGGATATGCAAAAGAAGAATTACTTGTTGAGTTGAGTGATCTTTTGGTTGAAAATGGCAACAGGAAGAGTTGCAGAAGTTGCAAGTGGGTTTGGTTAAGGAGATGGATATTTAAGGACAGAGAAAATAGACCTCCCAACCATCACCCAACACACCCTCTATTATTTGCTTTGTAAGTATAGTCTAGAATACCAAATATGTATCCCTAGCTAGCTTTAGGTTGTTATGTAGGAATGGAGGAGTATAGGAACATATATATAAAGAGGGATGGAGAAGATTGAATTGAAGAGGAGGGTTTGGGGTGTTTTGCTTTCATGCTCCATGAACCGTCCATTTCTTCATGTATGGGGAAAAGGGGAAGGTGTGTGTGTGTGTGATGTTGATAAAAAGGTCTTTTGGAAAGTGACTTGTTATTATGAACAGAGCTTGAATTAATGGGACCCCTTGCTAAGTTGCACTCAAGAGCTTCAATTCTTAAAAAGAAAGAAAGAAAGAAAGAAAGAGGGAGGGCCGTGGTCTTTTGAAGAGTAAAAACAAAATGAGAGGACCTCCCATGTTATTTGCTTCTTGGATTTTTGAGTTGGCCTTTTATTCTAGATTTGTTTATGACCTCAACACTGCTGTTGAAAGTTTTCATTTGATTATCTCTCTCTCTCTCTCTCTCTCTCTCTCTCTCTCTCTCTCTCCTGCATTATTAGAACATATAGTTACTTACATGGGTAGTAGTGACGTAACAGAAGAAGACTCCCATGTGATGTCCTGTGAAGTGTTCATGACAATCCCTTATTTTTTAGTTCATTTATGGTAAGAATGGAACAGGCCCTTTGATTCATTTGTGTTACCTGAAATTTACATCAATCTGGTATATATATTGAAGCCACAAAATGTAGGTCGTCTTGAGAGAGAGATTATACATGTAATAAGAATCCATGGTCACCCAAAATTAAAAATATTACTTGTTCATGATTGAAGGAGACTGTTAAGCACCAGGAATGTCTATTATATAACTGCAGTTTTTATCCAAATTAAGTTGCTTAAACAGGGTTTTGCTCAGGAGCATCTCTCCACACATGTTTTTGTCCAACATTCAGTTATTTTCTCCCCATTTTATTTTACCAAATACATATGTTCATCTCTCCTTCATATTTTTATCTCGATCGTATGCCACTTCAAATTCATATCACAATGTATATAGCAACTATTGGGTCTCCTGAGGTTAAACTCATGAGTTGATTAATACTCGAATTTGTTTCGTCTGTCAAATAAACATATGCATTTGACATGTTTGACATGGCCGGCAAGACTATATGTCCATCTCTACGGTGCCGAATTTCGTAGGATATCATGTCATGTATCCCAAGGGACCTTAGCCCTAGCTGCCTACCTAGCTAGCTGCTTTGATATGATCGTGGACCTTATCAGTAGGCATTCTATATGCTAACAGAGATACATGTATGAATATATCAGATGTTTCCTCCGAGCATTAATATATAGCCACCATCCTATCCTAATGGTGTTTCAGCTAGACCACCAAGAAGTGAAATGTCATGACTTAGATATCATGATTTGATCAACCATATCTAAATAAATCTTTGGAAAACACTTGACTTCTTTCCTGGAAGTAGGAATTCCTACTTTTCTGGTAAGTTTGACATGTGCGCTTCTTCTTTTTGTGTTTTTTATGAATTATTTTTGCATATGTGTCAAACTTTGATTTGTAGGACGTAGGAATGCCTCCTTCCAGATAAGTGTCCTAAATCTTTTCTGTGTGAAAGCTCATAATAATTTCTAAGTTCTAACTTTAAGACCGGCCACATGACAAACCACAAAAAGAAAAGAGAAAAAAGAGAGAGATTATAACTTCCCATATAAAATTGTTATAGCGAAGACTAGCTCATCGAGCTGCAACAATTCAACTTTAAGTAAAAATTCCAAAGATGAGTCATGTAGAAGATTGATATTTGATGAATCATGGTAAAGACCAAACCAAAGATGAGTTGGATGCCGAAAGAAGAACAAAGATTTTGGGATGTGATATAACAATTAATGGAATCCATTTCTTTTACAGCCTTAGTGGAGAACTCTACATTTTTGTGGATCAACCACTTTTGCTATTCTGTCAATTTTCATACATCCAGGGGAAACATGCACAAGTGCAACACAGCCACACACAAGCTGGGTTGAATCTTGATGGGCATACCTTTCATTTTATATAAGAGTTTGTTTGGTGTAACGAACCCCTTTGGCTTTGATGAGTCAACTCTGAATTCTTCTTTCGGACTGCATATATAATGAAAATGGTTTATGGGATCTTTTGTTACCTGTTACACACAAAGAAACTTATTATTTGAAAGAATTTTGCTAAAGCTAGTCACACACATGTAATTTCTAATTATTAATAAAATGTAGTTCCCACAGTCATTTGATGTCTGAAATGGACTACGCGCACATACCACATAGGGTTACTTGGCCGTAGCATAGCATTATCTGAAATCATGTCGATGTTCCCATCCAACGTCACATAGTATTTCTCATTTTACATTGTTTTCTTGTTCAAGCTCATTTTACCTTCAACAACAAGAGCATACTAAACCATTAATTGCAATTATGCAAATTGCCCAAATTGTAGAGTTTTTTTGAGCAACTTTGAAGTCATAAGAGACCCCTAAAAAATTCTTGAAAATGTTACGTATACATTAAGGTCGTGCATGACTAAACGGAACAAAATTGACAACAGAAGTGTGAAATCACAAAGGGGTAAGCGTCATTTCCAGAGAGATACATCCACAACATCCCCCATGTCAATTTATGTGCAAGTTGTGGGCAAAAGCAAAAGTTGATACACACAAAGCTGAATAGGATGCATTTCTAAATAAAATCACCTTTTGCTTTCTTTTGGAAGCAATGGAGACACAGAGAAAGTGAGAGAGACCTAATCTGAAGTACAAGCCATAATTCGATTGCAAAATTAATTATATTTATATTCAGTATTGTGAAGGGTGAGGAGGGACCACAAAATGATGGTGCAATGCAACAATGATGTTCTATTTGATCTTGGGAAATGATGATGGTGAAAGAAGGCAGGTTTTCAATGCTTATACCTAATACAATAAATGCCACATACCCCTGTCACATTCCTACCACATAATAAGAATTGAAATCCTTGGAGTATAATCTATGTGACAACATACTTAAAAGGACTGATTTTTTGTTCTAATTTTGATAATTTCATGTGCATGTCAGAATATTGCATATGGCCTTGGTATAAATTTATGATGTGATTGCAACTGGGTAGGGTTTGAAGTTCGAACATTTCCTAAAAAATTAGGCATATCTTGCTTTAGATAAATGGGCAATGCCTAAGAGCATCTACAATGGTCAGGATCAATACAATTTTATTGCATGAAATTGAACTAAACTAAAATATCACTTGTAATTGTGATTTAGTTCATTGCAATAGATGCAATTGTAATAGATGGTGCTATGTGATGAACCCTATATTGCCATTGCAATAGACTAACCATGGGATCCACATGCCAATTAAAAATAGAAAAAATACGGCAAGTAATGCATTATGCTGTTAATTCATTGAAAAAGGCTAATCATGGGACCCACATCTCTATTGAATTCCATTATACCTTTCTTTGCCTTTATTTAAAAAATAATAATAATCCAAAATATACAAGTTTGGCATGAAATTATTATTTTCTTCCAAATATATTCAAAATTGGTCTCTTTTTAAAGATCTCTTTGAGAATATTTTAATGGCCGTACAAATTTTTATTGTTATTAAATTTATCCATTTTATTTTATTTGAGTATGAAAAAAAAAACATGTAAGAAAATATTACTACTTATCTAAAGCTATTGAACTGTATCATTGCAAGTAAAATTGCAGTTCAATTCAATAGATGTCAAAATAGTTCAATTGATTGAACATAGCATTGAATTATTGAATCTCAACTCCATAATTTTTATTTTTAGTTTTTTTTTTAAATAATGAAAGTGGCAATCTCAACTTTCAATAACCATTTAACAAAAATTCGAAACTTTGAGTAAACATGTGAAACATTTCACATCCTTAAGATTTGATGGTGCCGGCGGTGATAGTGATGACCACATCGTGATATTTTGCTGAGGAAATGGTATCCCAAATAATATATGGTCAACAAAAAGCATTTATTCCAATTTGATGTCAGCTAAATTCTCCAACCAAAACATGAAAAGGGTTGAAAAGGGTTTTGTTTCTTTTTTCGATACAACCGATATGGAGGAAGGGGGAATCAAACTTAGAACTTCTAGTATATAGATAAATACTCTTAACCGCTTGAGCAAATCTGTTTCTGGATAGAAACCACTTGTTTTTGAAAGGTTGCTGAAACATGGGCTCATTGGGCTTAATTTCAATGGAAGGTTGCTGGGTGTCTTCTGTCAAACTTCATGAACAGAGACCACTTGTTTTTGAAATGCAGCTTTTGTCACATGCAGCTGCCTACGAGTACTTGAGGGCTGTCAGCTTACCTACTATCCTCAAAGTTGGGAGACAGATTTTTAGTGCCCTAGGAATCTCTAAAACAAAGCTTTCTTCATGGTTTTTTTCTCAAGCTCCCACTCCCCTTTTATCCACATACACTCCTTTTTGTTTAAAAAAATGGAGTGTAAGTGGATAAAAATGGAGTGGGAAAATCAGTCCCCTTCTTTTATTGTTTTTTTTCTTTTTTTCTTTTGTAGACCAGGTTTTGGTTGAGCTTTATTTTCTGTTGTTTGGCTCTGCTTTTGAAAACATACCACAATCTGTTCACTTTTTCCCTTTAACAGAAAGCGAGCAAGTTCCAAAGTATGGTCAGAAGGCTTTTCAAAAAAGCCCATTTCTTCCATCAGAACTTCAACTGCAACACAAGTTAAAAGGTAAAACAGCAATCTGGAAAGAAAAAAAATTATCAGAGAACTTCAATTGTATTAACATATCAGACAATGAAGTAAAATAGGGTAGTAACTGCGCACAGAAAGTATCTTTATCATGTGAACAACCTGCTAAATTGTAAACCTTTCATCCACACTAACATGGCATGATTAGAAAGAAAATCTACAAGAAAATCGATCAAAGATCCTCCACAAGTAAATCTTCCGATTCAAATAATCTTTTCTTCTTTGTTGAATAAACTGGAAATGCCAAGTTCACTTCGCAACAATCATCCACACATACACAAATTGTTAAATTTAATTTTACTAGAAATGCTAAAGATGCTAATGCAGCAGCCCTGTAAAATTAAGAAAAAATAACTATGTATGTACAATATCTGGAATAATCTATGGAGAAGAGTTTATTGAGATGGAAAGACCTACTGAAATATATATAAGAGAAACTGAAACGCAGACCAATACAATTTGGCTTCCCAATTTGCACCAGAATTACAGGAACAATGTAGATCCTGATAATGTCATTAAAAGAACCAAAACTGACCTAAATTAACTTTCTAGTTCACTTCGTATCCAGTCTTGTGCACACATCAATGCTTGGATGGTAGCTGGGTTCATTGAACTCCAATCACGATCGAGCACTCTTCCTCCAGTGTTGAACGTAGAGTCTAATGAAACTTTTGACACAGGAATTCCCAACACATTGCGTGCCATCATAGATAGGATAGGGTACCTAGGTGCATGAACTTTCCACCAATTTAGTATGTCAAACTCTGCATTACGAGGAAAGAGAGGCTCCTCCAAATACTTGTCCAAATCTGACTTTGTCCCATCAATCTCAGTAGTTTCATGCAGAAATTTATCAAAACCAGTCAGCCTATCCCTCAAGTCCCTTCCAGAACCAGGCAAGCGAGAACTACCACCTACTTGCCAAGCCAGACCTTGATCAACATAAGCTAAGCAGGTTGAATGTTCATTATATAGTGTTTTGACACACTCAAAAACATCAGAAATTCGACCTGGAGCACCACTGCCAAAGAATTGGGCATAATAATAATCTACCGGTTTCATCTTGAATCGAGGATCTAACATGACTGCAACTGCTAAACTCAAGCTACATCTCATCCAATATTCTTCAAATTTGCTTCTCATCTTCAAAGCCAGAGAACTAATGTAATCATCTGCATTCTTGCACCACTCATTCAGCTGCGAGTATACTTCACAAAGCTCAGGAAAATACAAATTTGCAGTTGGAGACTTGAATCTTGTGAAAACATTGGTAACCCCAACAAAGAGCTTTAAGTAGCTAGTAATGATGTTCACTCTATCCCATTCAACA